AACTCGTAACTCTCTTTGCTGTTTGCAACTACGCGCAACCAGTCACGGAGATTATTCTTCTTCAAATATTTTTTGGTGAGATATTTCAAATACCTTTTGGAAAAAGGCACCTCAGAAGTTACAGTAATCTTGCTTTTGCTCCTTTCAATTGTTACAACCCCTCCACCGAGATTCCCAGCTTTTCCATTCACTTTGATTCTCTCTTGAAGAAACTGCTCAAAATTGGCAGCATCCATGATTCCATCTTCTACAGGGTGGGTGCAGTCAAGGGTAAACTTCAGAACTTGCTTCTTTTTTTTGCCCCCCTTCGCCACAAGCTTTTTCACGGGCGCCATGGCGGCAGCGGAGGCAGAAAGGGAGGGGGGCCTAATTTTTTAAATATTAAAACTAAACCTACTCTCTAAACTTAATTCTTGAATTATCACAGAACAAAAATTATAAATTTAAAAATTCATTGTGGAAAGGTTCATATTCGACAGATTCTAAAAATGGGAGCCAAAAGAAAAAATCACTGCTTACTGTGAAAGCTTGGAAAGCGCTGGTGGACAACTCCTTCTCTTGATCAGTAATCCCAGAGGACTGACTTGTCCCTTCATGTTTCTCTGCTCCCTGATCTGCAAGCACAAAAGTTTTACAGTTGTTTAGAAATAAAGTCGTACAGTAAACATGCCCTAGTTTTCTTCTGTCTTCTTCCTAATGAAGGTGCCACAGTTACGGCTTTCTCAACAACAATAGCATATTAGGGTTATAAGTGAGTTAGAAGCCACTCCACCAAAAACTTAAAGAAATGTTTCCCTTAGCCATGGTCAAGCACAATGAAAACCCAGCATCACTTATGTAAAGATTACAGCTCTGTCCATCCTGGCCTGAGAATGTTGTGTTCACTTAAAAAGATGAGATCTGCCCCCCAGCAATATATCAAAGTCCTACATATTCAAGAAATTACACCAGACTCTGGAGACCAAAGATTATAAATATATATATAATACCTTCAAAAAGTTTATAACCCAGTTGGAATATAGTAACATTTAACAATTAGAAAACTACTTTAAGGGTGCCTGGGTGGCTCAGTTGGTTAAGCGACTGCCTTCGGCTCAGGTCATGATCCTGGAGTCCCGGGATCGAGTCCCGGATCAGGCTCCCTGCTCAACGGGAAGCCTGCTTCTCCCGCTCCCACTCCCCCTGCTTGTGTTCCCTCTCTCACTGTGTCTCTCTCTGTCAAATAAATAAATAAAATCTTTAAACAAAACAAAACATTTTCAGGCCAAGAATACTTCCATAGGCTTAGAAATCCAAAAGCCAAGATTAACACATTTAAAAAGCTTCCTTAACATGATTAAGTATCCATATACCCTTTAAGATTAACGATTCCTGCCCCACAATTCAGTATTTCAAAATTAATTTTTTTTTAAAGATTTTATTTATTTGACAGAGAGAGACACAGCGAGAGAGGGAACACAAGCAGGGGAAGAGGGAGAGGGAGAAGCAGGCTTCCCGTTGAGCAGGGAGCCCAATGTGGGGCTCGATCCCAGCACCCTGGGATCATGACCTGAGCCAAAGGCAGGCGCTTAACACCTGAGCCACCCAGGTGCCCCGATATTTTTTATTTAAAAACCAAATTCCAAAGTAAACATAAAAATCTCTGCTAAATAAAGTCTAAAGCTACTCGAGTTCAACACTTTTAACTGTTCTGACAAATGCTTCAAAAAAAAAAATACTTTTTCTGGGGTGCCTGGGTGGCTCAGTTGGTTGAATGTCTGACTCTTGGGTTTTGGCTCAGGTCATGAACTCTGGGTGGTGGGATCAAGCCCCTCATCTGGCTCTGAATTCAGAGGAGTCTGCAGGAGAGTCTCTCCCTTCTCTCAAAATAAATAAATACATCTTTTTAAAAAGTTGTATTTGCAGGGGCACCTGGGTGGCTCAGTCGTTAAGCGCCTGCCTTCAGCTCAGGTCATGATCCCAGGGTCCTGGGATCGAGCCTGCATCGGGCTCTCTGCTCGGCGGAAAACCTGCTTCTCCCTCTCCCACTCCCCCTGCTTGTGTTCCCTCTCTTGCTGTCTGTCAAATAAATAAATAAAATCTTTAAAAAAAAAAAAATTGTATTTGCCAGAGAGAGAGCGAGCGAGCGCACGCGCACAAGCAGGGGGAGCAGCAGACAGAAGGAGAAGCAGGCTTCCCGCTTGGCAAGGAGCCCCATGAGGGGACTTAATCCCAGAACCCTGAGTCAAAGGCAGACACTCAACCGACTGAGCCACCCAGGCATCCCAAAATAATACTTTTTCTTTCATGAAAGAAGAAGCATCATTGATCCCAACATTTGTGAGCACAATGCAGTCAAATGATCCCATCTTTTCTTGTTCACAAGAGATCTTTCTGGACTAAGCCTCATTTATATACTATGGTAGATGATTTTTGGGAGAGGGGCTGGCAGAAATCTTTCTTATCCTTGGGATTTGAGGCCTTGATGTCAGATAAGTGACAAGAACCTAAACCGTAATATCACACTCTGGAGACAATATCATGCTTACCCAGTTTTCACAAACTTTTAAGTTTCCTCTGTAAAATTACATAGCAGTAGCCACAAAACATAGTTTCCATTCAACACTAAGAAACATACCTGAGCTTTTAATTATTTATTTAAAGGAAAGGAGACAATAAAGTTATAAAAGTTAGTAAGAATAAAAGGTAACGGGCGCCTGGGTGGCTCAGTCGTTAAGCGTCTGCCTTCGGCTCAGGTCATGATCCCAGGGTCCTGGGATCGAGCCCCACGTCGGGCTCCCTGCTTGGCAGGAAGCCTGCTTCTCCCTCTCCCACTCCCCCTGCTTGTGTTCCCTCTCTCGCTGTGTCTCTCTCTGTCAAATAAATAAATAAAATCTGTAAAAAAAAAAAAGAATAAAAGGTAACTACATCTACAGAGCTCATAAAAATGTAGCATCTAGTGTTTCAAGGGACCGTAAAAAAATGTTAAATCCTTTAAATCTTTCAGCCCTGGGGTGCCTGAGTGGCTCAGTCGTTAAGCGGCTGCCTTCAGCTCAGGTCATGATCCC